CAGGGGAGCAGGACCCCAGGGTCCCCCCCCACCTTGGGGCAAGCAGCTTGGCCGAAAGCACAGCCAGAGGGAGTGAAAAAAGGCTGTGCCCCGGGCTGCTGCTCCCCTGCAGTGCCCAAGCCAGAGCAGAAAGGGGGAGGGGGTTCAGAGTGGGGTAGGAGGAAGGTCTGCCCTCCTCCTCCTCAGGCTTTTTGCTGCTGAGTTGCATCTCCACTGCATTTAACACAAAAAGTACAGAAAGGGCAATACAAGTAGAGTAAGGAGGTCCAAGACTGCAGAGGAGAGGTTTCCCTCTGAGCCCACCTTGCTGCTGGCACCCCTGGCAGCACCTGTGGGGCACCCAGCACCCTCTCCTCCATCCACACCACCCCTTGCGCCCTCCCACCTTCTGACCCCCCAAGCAGAGCTGTCTCCTAAGCTTTTGTCCCATTTCTGGATGATTTTGGAGCAGGAGGATTCCCCGCTACCCCAGGAGAAGGGGGTCCCACCGCTGGCCAGGAGAGCTTTGCCTTTGGCAGATGCGATGGATTGAGTTCCCCTTCAGGCTGTCATGGAAGGGTTAAAAGGAAAAGAAAAGGCTCTAACCAGACAAAAATAGGGAGAAATCTTCGAGGGGAAAGAGAGAAGGAGGAGCGGAGATAGGGAGAGAAGAAAGGAGGTGGAAGTGGAGGAGGACAGCGAGTGGCGGAGTGAGGAAGAAGAGGGGGAGGAGGAGAAAGGTCTAATGGCTTTTCCATTAATTGCACCGTTTCCCACCTTCATCCCCACCTTGCGTCCCCGCATCCAGCCTCCCCGTCCCGCGTGGCCCAGCCAGCGGGGACCCTGCAGCCTTGGTGGCAGGGCAGGGACCCGATTCCCACCCATGGCCATGGGGACAGGGCCACGGTCCCCAAGCGCTGGTGGCCTCCGGACCCACCCCGGCCACGCCGCCACCGCACGGGCAGAGCACGCCGGGCACCCTCACGTGGGGTGAAGCAACGCGGGTGCCATCTGTGCCCTGGGGACACGACGGTCCCCAAAACACCTCCCTGCCCACGCCCATCTCCCCCCCATCCCACTCCCACACAAAGGCGGGGTTCACTCGCCGGCCCCGGGGCCGTGCGGGGAGGCGAGGGGCTGCGGCTGG